TGTGACTAGACAAGCTTCCTGGCTTTCTTTAAAATTCACATTGCATAATAACCTTACACATATAGGACATTTTATTAAAGACTTCACATATTCTACTTGGATTACATGAAAAACCCATACTGGAAGTCCTGTAAACAAGGAATATGGGAAAGTTCAGTTTATCCATTTTCTGTCAAACACAAAAGGACTCATTACAGAAAACCCTAATAAAATTTAAAATATGCCAATGCTTTCTATATATTTCCCCTTAAAGAATGGAAGTACTGCTGGGCATGGTGGCTCACACTTGTAATCCTAGCTATGCAGGAGGCTGAGATCTAAGGATTGCAGTTCAAAGCCAGCCCACCAGGAAAGCCTGAGACTATCTCCAATAAACCACCAGAAAACCGGAAGTGGAGCTGTGGCTCGAGTGGTAGAGAGCGAGCCTTGAGTTGAAGAGCTGAGGGACAGCGCCCAGGCCCAGAGTTCAAGCCCCAGGACTGATACCCCCCACCCAAAAAAAAAAACACAAAATGGAAGTATGTAGTTTGGATAAAAGCCTTAAGAATATAAGGGATATGGTAAGTGCTTAACTTTATCACTTTCGATTATAAGGTAAATACTATGGTTGTACAGGAAGTGGGTATGCCTTCATTTTTTTATCTATAAAGATATATAACACAAACTGGGAATGTCATGTATTGTACAGAGGGGCTACAGTGACATGAACAAGGCAATGAGTACATTTCCTGTCATGCATCATTTCCCCCTCTGCTCTCCCACCAACCCCTCCCCCACGGCATTGCTTTTCTGGGTTGAATCATGTAATGCTCATCTCTTTATATTGTTGGATTCAGTGCTCTAATAGTATTTTCTAATAGTATTTTAAAACATTGTAGTATATTATTAAACTCTTGTTCTGTAGTAAAGCGTTTCAATTTTCTCCCTGCTCAAATATTCAAAACCAACTACATATCCATGAGAACCAACAAGCCTCTCATGTTCTGGCACAGCCTTTCCCTTTATACCCACCATGCATTCTCCCTGCTACCGGTACCCGCCCTCCATAGGCCTGAATAGCTTCTAGTACACTTCTCCATTTGAATATGACCACATAAGAGAAATTACTGTTAGTCTTTTCTAGTGTCTAGCGGTAATTCCTTGCTAATCAGTGGTGTAAATGGAAGGCTATTGGAAACACTGCTAAAATAAAATGGACCAAACATAGTTAATATTCAGTTTGAAAGCTGTGTGCATCTCAAAGAAAAGCCATCTGCTTACACCTTAACCAATCAGCACCCCCCCCCCATCGCATGTGTTTTCTTTTATGCATTTGGATTTTTACTCTTTAATGTCTTAGCATGGTCTTATGTTTGGATTTCCCACTTTCTGTTATTGAATAACAGGATTAGCAAGATACATTGGCAATATATGTAATATACGTAAGTGCTCCCATGAGTTCATGACTAGCCTCGGCAATATAGCAAAAGCCTCATCTCAAAAACAACACAGGGTACTGCAATCTCTAAAACACAATTGCTAAGTTGCTTTCTACCTTAATTTTTACCACTGGTGTCTTCATAAATCACTGGTGTCTTCATAAATGTTGGTGTTTGTGTGTGTGTAATTTGCACTAGTTATTGCTTACACAATGACATTTTATTTCAAAATAATCCCTGATTTTTGTCTTATAACTACCTCTTAAAATATAATATTATTACTAAGGTTTTGTACAGAGGGGTTATCATTTCATCAGTCATGTAATGAGTAATTTCTCTTGACAGTCATGTTTCATTTTCCACCGGTTTTCCCCTTTTCCACATAGTGTATTCTGACTACTATGCTATTTGCTCACCATTCCTCTCCCTTTCTGCAGCTCCCTTTGCCTTCCCTAAAAACGAAAACCCAAAGCAAAACCAAACACCACCACCAGAAAGAAAAATATTTTGTCTGATAGTGTCCTTTAAATATCAGTTAGTTTCTGCTATTTTCATGATACCTTTCCATCCTAAAATACCCCAAGATTAATTACCCTCACCACCCACCAATGATAACAGTATTAGTCAATTCTCAAGTCCTTTATATAAAATGGCATCGTATTTGTATATAACCTGTGCACATCTTCCCATACATGAAGTTATCCCCAGATCACTTGTAATCTAATGCAATGCACACATTTTCTGTGGATCTAGTATAATCTGTACATGGCAAATTCCAATTGTGCTTTTTTGAACTTTATTTTTTTTGTTGGTCATGGGGCTTGAACTGTTTAGAATTAGTTTAAAAATGAGGTCTGAGCACAGTTCAAAGCAAGGGCAAGGGAAGTCCATGAGGCCTTCATCGAGTGGAGGTGTGCCTCAAAGTCCTAGAGAACTAGTGGTGAGCAGAAAGGCTGGGATACACCATGTAGGTCCAGAGTTCAAGCCCCAAGACCCCACCCTCTAAAAAATTTGTGGCATGCTTGGTTGAGTCCATAGATGGGTCATGAACACACTGATAGAAAACCAACTCTTCCCTTGCTCCTATCATATTTTCAACTTGTACTTCTTTTGTGATACTATAGAGATCTTAAAACCCAGGGTACTGCACGGGCATCTTGAATGCAGTGACTTCTGCGGAGATCAAAGAATTGCATTTCTTTCATTACACTTAATGGGTGCAGTTGGATTTAGATGTTTTATTCTTTTTTTTTTTGGGTCCGGTCATGGGCCTGAACTCTGGGCCTGGGCGCTGTCCTTCAGCTCAAGACTAGCGCTCTACCACTTGAGCCACAGCGCCACTTCTGGCTTTTTTCTGTTTGCTTATGTGGTGCCAGGGAATTGAACCCAGGGCCTCAGGCATGCAAGGCAAGCGCTCTACCACTGAGCCACCTTCGCAGCCCCTGTTTTATTCTTTCTTGTTAGCTTACATTAGTTCCACAAGTTTCATTGTGACACTACCATATATGCACATGTGCATTGAGTGTCTCCCATCCAACCTCCCTTCTGTCCTCTCTAGCCTTCCTCCTTTATCTTCATTCACTCTCCATTCACTCACCTCTTCTCACGGGTATCAACTGCAACAAGGTGTTTGGCCAGTGGCTCCATGCTCTGTCATGTATTAATCTTCATCTGGACCATGTGTGTGAACTGTCCCAAAGTGGGTGGAACCAGGGGCCTAGACATCCCTCCCCAGGCCAGGTCCTCAGGCAGGACAGCATGGGGCAGTTCTGCATTCTAGCCTCAGTAGCCCTTGAGCACTCATTGAGACACTTCTTTTGGTACAGGCTCAAGCAAATATGAAGCCATTGCTATTTTTATTTTCCCTCACCCTGAACTATTTCCACTCTGAAGAGCACTCTCCTGATTCAGTAGGGCCCATCTGTGGCCAGAGGCACAGGCCTCCAGTGGGGTTCCAGTTAATGCCAAAGGCAGTAAGGTGGAGCCTGCAGTGCAGGTTGAGCACCATCTTGTAGGAAACAACTGGATGTCTTCAGTGCAAGACCCCACCCAGGAATGAAAAGAATTTCCCAACATCAGGCCTTGTAGTGGGGCCTCTGGAGGAGCTGTGACCATTTCCAGTTCCTTTTCCCCAAGAAGTCCTCGCCCAGTAGCACTGCAGGTCAGAGCAATACTTTCCTAGTTCCTAAAAGGTCTGCAGTTCCAGCGGGAGGCCGGTCCTTGGAGCTCTAATCCTGGATAGCACTGTTGTGGTTCATCTGACAGCACCTAGCATAGTTTATCAGACACATCAAATCGCTGCCTTTCTTCCTGGGCTTCCATTCTAGCTGGGGGTCAGCCAGTTCCACTGGACTTCAGAGGAGGCTGCATCCATATGAGATGTGGCTGCTAGGCAGACATCACCTTCCTATGTTCTGATGAGACCACCTACCTGAAAAGGTGAGCGAACTCTAGCTTGAGGGAGAGGTGGGACAGACCCCAGTCCCATCTAAAGCCCTTACTGGGGGGGATAAGGTCTGGCAGGATTGTGGATGAGGTTAAAGGTGAAAATCAGAGCAGCTGTAGAAGAGCCCATACCACCCAGCCCTACGTGCCCACCTATACATCAACCCAGTGGCCCAAATCAAGAGTTTTAAGCTACTTCTCACACTGGTGTCTGAGGTATAGGGTGTCATAGGAGCTTGTAGTCTGGCTAGGGGACAGCCTATCAATTCAGGTTCCAAGTACCTGCCAAATAGACTAGCCAGTACAGCAGGCGCTCCCTCCCCAGGGCTGGACAACATGGGTGGGGAGATTGTCACAGTGCTGGTGTTCCCTCTGCCTTTGTTGTGTTTGGCTCTGCCCCTACAAGATAGCTAGTGTGCTAGGCAGGGCACAGGAGCCCAGGCTGCTCATGGTGCTGCGGGGAAGGCTTCCTTCTGTACTGATGCTCCATCCCAGGCACCTGGCTGAGTTTCTTGGCCACTTAGGCCTGGTGCCTCCAGATGTGGGTGGACAACACCCAGCTTAACAAGCCAGCTTCTGTCATGCATTGCCCAGTTACTTGTGGCCCAGATGAACACTTACCTAATCTCAGTGGGCTCAGTGGCGAGCCAGCCAAGCCTCCCGAGATCGAGGGCCAGGATCAGCAGCCCAGGAGAGTGGTGCTGCCTGCTCAGCAGGGGCCTCTCCAGCCACAAGAGGGCAGGGAGTAGTCTTTTCTTTTGGTTTGGGTAGTGGTGCTGTCCCTGAACTCTCAGCTTAAGGGGAGCGCTGCACCATTTAAGCCACTTCCGGTTTTCTAGTGGTTTGTTAGAGATAAGAGTCTTATGGATTTACTTGCCTGGCTGGCTTTGAACCGAGATCCTCAGATCTCAGCCTCCTGAGTAGCTGGACTACAGGCATGAGCCACCAGCACCCAGCTATAACCTGTATTTTTTTGGGGTCGGTCATAGGGCTTGAACTCTGGGCCTGGGCACTGTCCCTTAGCTCTTCAGCTCAAGGCCAGTGCTCTAACTCTTGAGCCACAATGCCATTTCCGGTTTTCTGTTGGTTTATTAGAGATCAGAGTCTCATGGACTTTCCTGCCCAGGCTGGCTTTGATCCTGATTCTCAGATCTCAGCCTCCTGAGTAGCTAGGATGACAGGCATGAGCCGCTGGCACCCTGCTACAGCCTATAATTCGTGAAGGAGTCAGAGGCAGAAGTCCGCTGCGCACTGGCACCCCCACAGGCACTACAGGGCTGCAGTACTGGACATGGCGTCTTTCAGCTGTGCAAGCAGCTCTTCTGGCTGCAGTGAGAAGGTGCTGGTGTCTATTCTCTGGAAGTCAGGGTGTGTGATCAGAGAGGTCAGCACTTCCACAAGGCGGCTAACATCAAATGCAGCCTGCTGGTGGCCTAGCCCTGGGCCCGGGCTGTCCTTGAAAACCTCTGGCCCCTGCCCTAGGACAAGGAGCCTCTTTTCAGCAATGATCTTCAGAAAGTGGTAAAACTCTTCAAAGTTGATCCCGGAGCAGGATTTCATAATGACCTGGGCAGAGCAGAAAGGCCAGTGAGCCCTGTGGGCTAGAGCCATGGATGTGGCCCCCGTTTACCGGGTCCCAGTACCAGCTGTGCTTACAGACCAGGGCAGGAACCCATGAGACAGAGGTACTGAGGACAGCCTGGCCGCCAGTGCTCTGCAGGCTCTGAGTGTCTGCCCTGGTGCTAGGCTCAGACAGCATACATGATTGCTGCCCTCTGCTCTGCCTGTCTTGGCCACCCACCTGACAGTGGTGGTGCCAGTCGGGCATGGAGTCCTTCCACTCGCTTATCTCCCTCTGTACAGCCTGGAGCTCCTGCTGTAGGAAGTGCCACATGTTGGCCAGGTTGTATCCATTGACCCAGTTGTGGTTGATGGAGATGGTGTCATCCTGGAGGGCAGGGCACAGGCTAGCTACCGAGTCGGCAGCAGGCACCATGGGCGCGCAAGCCTATCTCCCTAACCCTTGACCTCGAGTGTCAGGCCTAGGTGCTAGCTGCAACCCTGGAACATGCCAGGCGCTCAGCCCACGGAGGGTGGACCCACAGTGCCAACCCAAAAGGGACCCGGGCTGGAAGGTGGGAAAAGGGCTCAGATTGAATAGGCACAGGGCAGGAATAAGGCAGGGAGTAAAGCGAGGGACTGGGAACTCCACAGCTTCATCTGGTCTGCTGGAGGAAGATCAGGAGGGTCAGGAGCTAACCCCTTTCTTAGAGGAAACAGACAGGAGCTGTGTGAAGGGAAGGGTCCACTGAGGGCAGGACCTTGTGTGCCCACCTTACCAGGTTGTACACTTGGTGGTGCCACCCACTGGGTACAAACACCATCTCTCCAGCCTCCTGCAGGACTTCCAGGGGCGGGCTGCTGTGCTGGGACCGGGGGTACAGGCGGGCATCCAGGAGCACAGGGGCCGTCACGTCATAGGGCAGGCTGCCATGGCAGTCACGCAGGGCCTCTTCCTGCCCAGGTGGGAATAACAACCACTTCTTCCTCCCACAGATGTTGACTGACCAGCTGTAGGAGCGGAATATGTCCGCGTGGAAGGGCGACCTGCAGCAAGGCCTCCTGGTTTATGCCTTGTGGGGTTCAGAGTGGGCCCTGGTTCTCCTGAGGGCCCTGGAGCCGGCTCCCCAGAGGTCTCTATGCACAAAGGGCAGTCACAGCCCCCACCCCTCCCCTTACCAGGTACCTGTGGACCCTGTCTGACATTACCAGCTGCCCTTGGGCCCTGCGTAGACAAATCGGTAGTCATCTACATCCAGAGCATCCCAGAACTCATTCAGCCAGTCAGATGAGAAGTACACGGGAAGAGTGAACACATCCTCCAAGTCCTCCACTGTAGACTCCCTGTGGAGAGCACAGGTACAGAGGAGGCTACCGCAGGAGCCCACACTGCACCCCACCCATACCACATGGGGTTAAGACCAACCTGGCAGGTGAAACCCTTCACATGCTCAGCCCAGGATGGTAAGCATGGCAGTGGCTTTGGGGTGGACTGTGCCCTGGCATTACCACACAGAGTGGCCATTCTCCCACAATCCCAGGATTTTGGCTTCTGGCTACATTTGGGAACTCTGAGCACTTGGTGTTCCTCCTTCATTTATTTCTTTTTTCTTTTTGTTGATTGTGGGGCTTGAACTCTGGGCCTGGGCGCTCTCCCTGAACTTCATTCAGCTCAAGGCAAGCGTTCTACCACTTGAGCCACAGCACCACTTCTGGTTTTCTGGTGGTTAATTGGAGATAAGAATCTCCATGGGCTGGGAAGGTTGGTCAGTGGTAGAACGCTTGTCTTGAGCTGAATGAGACCCCAATCACAGAAACATTTTATAACAGTCACAGGGAAGACACAGCTCAAACAATACTGCACTGGAGAAGCCGCCTAGATTCATGCTCACACGAGTCCTAGTCAGACAAGACAGGGCTGACTGACACCTAGTAGCAACAAACCACTTTTAGATGCCAAAACACCATATGGGTTTCTCTGACAGACATGTATGTTTTGGTGCACTCCGCAAACCCCTATTCATCATAAAAAACCCAATTTGGGCATTGCTTTTCCTGTATCCTTCTGATTGTATGACTCCACGCCCTCTGCCTTTTTTTTTTTTTTTAGGCCAGTCAGAGGAAACACAGACTACATTGCTGGCTCAGGAAAAGGGGAATCTTGAAATCTGAGGGACAAATTTACTGAATGCAGTGTGCATTTTGGACCATCACAAAGTAAAAAAAAACCCTAAGGCAGAGCCGGGTTCTGGTAGTTCATGCCTGTAATCCTAAGTCAGCCAGGTGCTGGTGGCTTGGGCGTGTTATCCTAGCTACTCAGGAGGCTGAGATCTGAGGATCACAGTTCAAAGCCAGCCTGGACAGGAAAGTCTGTGAGACACATCTCCAATAAACCACTAGAAAACTAGAAGTGGTACTGTAGTTCAAGTGGTAGAGGGCTTGCCTTGAGCTGAAGAGCTGAGGGATGGCGCCTGGGCCCAGAGTTCAAGCCCCACGACAAAAAAATAAAAAAATAAAAATCACAGTCCAAATGTGTAAGAACCAAGTTACTGATTGTGGCCACCACTGGGCTGCCAGGCTGATGTGCTGACTTCCAATGGAATGCCAATATGGCCACCACTGAAACCAAAGCGCATCAGGGGCTGTAGACAGGGTCACCCACTACCTGCACAGGTGCCAGTCCTTGAGGTAGAGGCAGCCCCGAGGGGAACTGTAGCCCCCCTGGATGTACTCCTTCCAGTAGCTGATGTAGTCTCGGAAGGACATGTGCTCCTTGGGGTTGGAGTTGTATTCCTGGACCCCACAGTTGGCAACAGGTACAATCACATCTCCTGAAGAAGACAGCACATACGTGGGTGAGACCAGTCCTGTACTTGGCCTCCTGGGCTCTACCACCCTCCAAGCCAGCGCCTGGCACGTCCAGGTCAGACCGGCCTGGGTGACACCTTCCACCTGCTGCTCTGCGGTGCATCCTGGGAATCCATCCCGGCCGCTTCTGCCAGCGCTCGGACCAGGGTTGAGGGTTCAGGCCGCTCCACCTTCCTAACTTCTCCCACGCCAGTGCTGAGGCCGTGGATACAGCCCATGCTTGGAGACGGGCTCTCAATTCTCCATGCCTGCCCCGCTGCTCTGGGCCC